AATTCGAGTCATGGCAGTGGGAGCGGGGAGGAAACATTTAGGAACTAGAGGAAAGTTGTATTTCTCATCGTTGTTACATCGCACCCTGACTGGTTCATCTCCCCGAGACCCCTCTGCAAGGGGTCTCCAGTGGCAGGGCCTGTTTTCATAAAACAGATCTGGCAAGCTTGCCTCAATTCATGGGCTCCTTCAAGGGGATGTCTTGGGAATGCTGATGCAGATGGCTTAGTAACTGCACATCCAAAGAAGTTTCCAAAGTCATTTCTAGACTGACTTGAAATTCCCAGGAAGCTCTCAGGAGCGAACAAGCTACCTAGTTCATTCATAAGTAAAAGGGAAGAATGACTCTTGTGAAGCCATGTTCCCTCTCTAGAAGTTGAGGTGGGCAGATCTTGTTTGGACTCGCTCATTGAAAATGAATTCAAAGAAGAACAGAAATCTTCTACGGATGAAGTCAGAGGGGGATACAATTCAGAGAAGGAGGGTGGAGGCGCAAGTCTTGTACCACACACAAGATTCTCAAGAGAGATGCTGAAAATATGCTTGGAGACACAGGGGCGGCCACTGGGAGGGGTTCTTTGGTGAGTGCCGATGGCATAACCCTCTCCTTTGTTTCTGGTGCCGAGTCAAGCAGGTCATCTGTTTCATCACCAAGGACCATGTCACCATCCTCTAAAAAGGCCACAGGCTTGGTGAAAGGGCCCTTCCCTCCACTGGCCAGCACTGCGGACGGCAGAGAGCTCTCTTCCACTTGCAATCCAAAAGCAAAGCCAAAGGCATGATGGGACCGGAGGCCAGTTCACTTCCAAGTTCACGAGGAATCCTGGGTGCAGGTAAAGGAACAGCTGGCACGGTTTCTTGGCTCGGAGCCAGTACGTCTGGCTCATTATCTTTCACAGAACAATTCAAAGCTTTGGACGCCCCATTTCCAGGCATTGACTTTAAGGCAAGCTCGGCTCTGACGTGTGCTTTCCTTATTTTAAATTTTTGAGCTAGTCCTTGAGTTAGTTTTATTACATGTTCATCCTGAGGCACAGCTAATGAACACTTGGCTACCACATCATAAGCTTCTCTGAATCCTCCCAGAGCACTCAGCGCCTTGGACTTGGGATAGAGAGCTTTGCAGTTACAGTGAACCCTCGCCACTTCGCGCTTCCACGTTCGCGGCTTCACTCTATCGCGGTTTTTGCGTAACAGCGCATGCTCTGTCATTACTGCCACTGATTGGCTCATACTGTACACGCTTGATGCCATAAATAATAAATGATAATTGTAACGTCCAAAATGTTTTACTGTATTTTCCCTTTTTCGTTTAATAAATTGAGTAATACGAGTGTAATGGTGACTAAAGGGTGTTTTTTCATGTCCTCTATGCTCTAACTACGAAAATATTTGATTTACAAATAAGGAATCCTACTTCGCGGAATTTCATTTATCACGGTAGGGTCTAGAACCGATTAACCACGATAAACGAGGGTTCACTGTACTGGCATTTAGACTGAGGACGGTATCACAGGCCTCTAACACTTTACTGTGGGACCCAGAGAATAGCAGGTGATATGGTTTGTAGAGTTTTTCAATGATTTCCTTGGGGTTGGCAAAGTCTTCAGACTGGGCCAAGTCAGCTATGCTCAGAGCTTCTGGGTTCTGGCTGGCAGAACCGTTCCAGTCACGCTCCTGGTAGATGCCATTGCCCTCATTGAAAATACTTCTCACAAGGGCACGCCAGTACACCGCATATTGATCCTGCGTCTCTGGGTAAGACAGCAGTGACTGTATACATTGCAGTCCTTCCTTAATGTTTGGCTGCCTTTTTCTTCTCTCCTCAGACACACTGGACAGGTTATCCTGTACATCCACTTTCTAAATCAGCAATCTGCAGGGCAGGCTGTGCGATGGATCCGAGTGCCACAGAGGTGAGTGGTTGGCACAAGTGGCCTGGGTGCTCAGTCATTCGCAGAGGCCCATCTCCCCCCTACCTTCCCCCCCCACACACACACACTGTGATGAGCTCTTAGCTCATGGAGAAATACTATATGATGATTCATACTAGTCGATATAAATCGCTATTTAAAACTGAGCCTTGAGTTCTATCATACAGATGGGTCATTGTTTATCTAACCAGACTCTACATGGGTGGTCATTAGGTCTATGTTACTTGTAGAAATTACATTGCTGTGCCCATCCTTGCACATGCTTCCCTCTGCATCTGGGCAGGGGCTTTGCTGGGCCAAAGGTTTGAAAGGGGAATTGGTAGGCCAATTGTGGGGGATTTATGAGTGACTGAAACTCAAATACATACATAATGAGTCCTCAGTAAATATTTGTTGAATGAAAAGGTGGGTGAACCCTGGTCTTGGTCCTTTCTCCATCCACAAAACAGTTCAGAAAAAAACAGTTACCGTGAAGTTATTTTGACTCATGGTAACTTCATGTGTGTCAGAATAGAACTGTGCCCAGAAAGATTCTCCATACTGGATCTTTTCAATTCTATTTATTAATTACTTTGCTTTAACAATTTCACTGACATACAATTCATTAGCATACATCTCAACATTTCAATCACATTCACAGGAGTTGTGCCACCACCACTACAATCAATTCCAGGCCATTTCTTCTTCCTCAGGCTCCTCCTTGTTGTTGGCCCCTGCCAGCCTCCCCTGCCATGTTCCTTCGGATCTACTGACCCAGTTGTGGTCTCTCTAGAGTTACCTAATCTGGGTTTCACATACAGAAACACAGACCAACCAGGAGAGGAGACAAACAAACAGCCCAACAACAGTGATACCATGGAACAGAGAAAAACCTCAATCGATAACAACGCAGAAAATAGTAAAAACCGGAGCAATTCTACATTGGGTCCAGAGGGAGATTACTGACCAGACGTCACATTTGGACCGAACTACAATAGCAAGAATCCACCCAGCAGTGTACTCTCACTGGTACGAAGGCTTTTCCCATCTCCAGTCCAACAGTTAAATTTTTTTAAAAATTCATTTTATTGGGGGCTCTTACAACTCTTATCACAATCCACACATACATCCATTGTGTCAAGCACATTTGTACATTTGTTGCCATCCTCATTCTCAAAACATTTGCTTTCTGCTTGAGCCCTTGGTATCAGCTAACCGTTAATTTTTTGGAATAGAGCCCCAACCCTTTTTTCCAAGACACCTGGAGATGGATGTAAACCTAGCTGGACTAACAGTCCCTATCCTACCTAGTAACTGATGATATAACTTAGGCTCCAGTATACGATTGGTCAACTCACCCACAGCCAGCCAATCCTGGCCTCCAAAGGACTCATCCGAACTCTTGGGACTTTGTGGTTGCGGAGAGGACCTGCGCTGCTGCAGCTAATGGGAAGCGAACTAAAGTTTTCTCTCTGTTTTCAGGACGGTTTGCTTTTTGGGCTTTGACTGGGCCCATGGGCGGGCTGAAGGGAAAAGGGACGACCGGAAACGCATCCACTGAGGGGAAGAGGCGAAAAGAAAACGCAGGGATCCATTCTAGAAGGTAGGGAAGGGGAGGGGGCGGTAAGTGGGGAGAGGCCGGGGTCGTAATCCTTTACTGGAAAGACTGAGCCCCTCGGAGAGGGGCGCCCTGGATTGGGGAGGTGCAGACACCCCGGCTTTTCCTAAGTCCCCAGGCGGGCTGTAGGGGGAGGCGGAGGCAGAGGAGGGGGAAGGGAGAAGGTGGACGAATATCAAGTGTCTGCTGAAGAAACTCCACTCTGGCCCGAGCAGCGAGTCAGGGAGGGCGGAAAATTGCCTTCTCGATGGGATCAGGCGGCCTCTGGGTCAGGGATGGACTGTGCACTTAGGTCACGGCGTGAATCAGTTAGATACCTCCATCAATTGGATCCCTGATCTAGGGGGGGCAACGGAGCTGCGGAAGACAGAAGTTGGGGCGTCGATGATACGAGCCTGGCATACAGGCCCGTGTGACCTACGTCCGCGCCAGCGCGTGGTGCCAAGTCCTCTTGGCTGATTTCTCCCCTCCGCGCCCCTAGGCCTTTGGTCCCTGTCCATCCAGGGTGACTCCGGCTTTGGAGCCCATGGAGCCAGCTGCCTACTTGCACTTCCCGCCAGACTCCCTCCTCTTCGGCTCGCTGCTCAGCCTGTTTGCACTGGTCTCAGGTAGGGGTGTACGCCACTTGCTTTTGTCAGTGTCCCCAGAAAAGAAATCCAATACTCCAGTCTTCAGAGAGGAAGAACGAGGGGGAGGGCACGTTTATACTCATCTTTTCTTCTCTCACAGGCCGGCCAAGGCCAATAGGAATACAGGTTTCCCCCTTACACCGAAAGTAGAGAGGCCTAGAAACCTTTCATAAACCGAAACAACATAAAGTGAAGAAGCAATTGCACACATATATAAGCGTCCCCAGACCAAAAAATAACCAGCCACGTCAAAAACAAGCAACGTATGAAACCTAAAACAACTGTAATATGTCGTGTTACAGACACGGTTCAAAGCTTTAACAACTTGTGGCTGAGATGTTGAGTGGGGCCACTTCTGGGAAGGAGCTGGGTACCCCACCCTCACCACTCCAGGTGCGAGCTTCCTTCTTTTTTTTTTTTTGATTTTTAAAAATATTTTATTGGGGCTCATACAATTCATCACAATCCATACATACATCAATTGTGTAAAGCACACTTATACATTTGTTGCCCTCATCGTTCTCAAAATTCTCTTTCCTCTTGGGTTCCTGGAATTAGCTTCTCATTTTCCTTTTTTTTTTTTTTTTAACATTTTATTAGGGGCTCATACAACTGTTATCGCAATCCATACACACATCAATTGTGTAAAGCGCATTTGTACATCAATTGCCCTCATCAGTCTCAAAACATTTTCTCTCCACTCAAACCCCCACATTAGGTCCTCATTTTTCCCCTCCCTCCCCGCTCCCCCTTCCCTGCGAGCTTCCTTCTTAAAGGCTCTTTGCAAAAGGCTACTTTCAACGTTCATTTCCCCCCCCCCAATAAAAGCAAAAATCCTCTTTGTATTTCTTTCTGAAGAACAGACAGTCATGTAGGTCTTCCGTAAAAGCGAACTTTGAGCAAACCACATACACACGGTGTAGCTTTCTGGTGGCTACATTCGAAACAGAGTCCCTGGGTAGTGCACACAATTAACTTGCTCAGCTGCTAGCCAAAAGATTTGAGATTCGGGACCGCTCAGAGGTGCCGGTGAAGAAAGACCTGGCGCCTCTGTTTGAAAAACCAGCTATGGAAAGCCCTTTGGGGCACAGTTCTCTGACACAGAAGACCTAGTGAGGGAACAGACCCCCCAGTAAATGCTCAATCGGTACGGTCAAAAATGTAAAACCAGATTAAACAAATTCGATTTAACCTAACATGCCCAAACAATGATCATTTAATTAGTATTCAAATTGCTGCTGAGAGATAATTATATGTAATTATAACATATAATTATAGGTGGGGTGAGGGGGTCTCCTATACTCAAATGGGTCCTCAAGAGTGACTTAGCCATCATGGAAAATGATAGAGACAGACAACGGGCCACAGGGGCTCTTTGTCCCTATGTCAGGACCAAGACCATGAATGGGTTTTCCAATGGGTGCATAGAACGGGGCTTACAGCTCTTTCAAAAGACATACATGTCATACAGAGAACACATTACCTAGTCAGTGGATCATATCATAAGTGGGTAACATAATAAACCAGCATTGAGATGCGTCATCATCTTGACCTAGTACTAGTTGACATCGAAGGAGTAATCTCTGATGAGTATCAGCAAGAGATGGCAAAAGGGAGTTTGCTACATTTTACGGTGGCTTGGCTATAGAACCTGATTGCTCTATCAACAGATAACCTTCAGGCACAGGGAACAGCCAGACACAAGAAGGATTCATCCCTAATGATAGTTCCTTTATTGGGGGTGGGGTGGGGGTGTTATTAGAGGGACCGTCTTCAGTCATGAGCATCTGTATTAAGACTTATTTATATCTCACAGCCATGAGAGTCTTCCCTCTTTGGAGTTGGCTTTCCACTCTTCATAAGGAGCATAGAGGATTTAGCTGCATTTCATTCTCATCCAGTCCCTCCATTTACTACAGTTATATAATATATATTATATAATATGTATATTATATAATATATATATTATATATAATAATCTCACTAGTAATTTATCATATATAATAATAGTACACTAAGTCTTCAAAACCACTTATAGCACATTTTTAGAAAGCTTGGGTTTATACTACATTCCAGGCACTGTGCTAGACAGGGGCATAGAGAAACAGCCCTTTGTGAGCACAAAGTTAATAGGGGGCTTCAGGGGGAGTAAGAGAAAAGAGAGGAGCTGATACCAAGGGCTCAAATAGAAAATGTTTAGAAAATGATGATGGCAACATATGTACAAATATGCTTGATACAATCGATGTATGGAATGATTTTTTTAAAATAGAGGGTCTCAGTGTGTGCTCCTCCATGCTTGATTCACAAAGCACTCACAGCCTCTGTATCAAACCCTTCCCAAGAATGCTGCCACTACTCATACCCCTAGAGTCCCCAGCCCAGGAACCCCCTGTGTCCTCAGTAAGAATCTGTCCCCCAGAACACCCCTTCCTTTCCTGCCTTCGATAGTTGACCCTGATGTCCCTCTCTGACTCTACGTCTCTGTTGAACAGCCCAGTTTGCTGTCGTGGGACCTGCCGATCCAATCCTGGTTATGGTGGGAGAAAACACCACATTACACTGCCACCTGTCTCCAGAGAAAAACGCCAAGGACATGGAGGTGCGCTGGTTCCGGTCTCAGTTCTCCCCTGCCGTGCTCGTGTATAAGGGTGGGCGAGAAAAAACCGAAGAGCAAATGGAGGCGTACCAGGGAAGAACGACGTTCGTGAGTGGGGAACTCAGCAAGGGGAGAGTGGCGCTGATCATTCACAACGTCACAGCCCACGAACATGGCATTTATCACTGTTACTTCCAAGAAGGCAGGTCCTACAACCAGGCCATCATACGGCTGATGGTGGCAGGTATGTCACTTCGTTTTGATCGGTAGCTTTTTCTCCGTGTGATTCTTGGGGAAAGTTTTCTGTCTAGTGGATTCTCACTCAGAATCCCTTTAAGTGAGGATGACTTCTTTGTGCTCAAGGGCCAAATGAGTGGGTTTGTTCTGCTAGGTTGTGGGTGTCATTTCTTCACGGGCACCCACATGGAGCCCAGGGAGCCTTTGAGCAAGGGAGAGTGCTTAATTCCTGGAGATCAACCCTGTGCCTCCCAAGGGCAATCAGTGACATCTTAGTGTTGATCAGATGTTTTTGATTGGGAAATGCAGTACATATTCAGGAAAAAAAATCATAAAACATTCATTACATTCTGAAGCACGATGTAGGTTAGATACATCACCATTCACCTCAACACACAGAACGCTGCCTCTCCCCACTGAGAAGGACCTCACACGAAACCGGACAGACTCACGCCATCTAATCTAATCGATGCCGGGGCTCATCTGGACCCTAAAGGGCAGGGGAGAGCTGCTCTGTGACTTTCGGCAACTGAGACTCTTGGAGTAGGGTGCCCGTCTTTCTCTCATGGAGCACCTTCTGGTTTGGAACTGCTCACCTTGCGGATCACAGCCCACTGTGTAACCACTACACCACCAGGATTCCTGGGTGGGGCAAATGGTCACATGCTCAACTACCGACAAGAGATTGGTGGTTCAAACCCATCCACAGGCTCCTTGGGAGACAAGGCTGGAGATATGCTTCCCAAAGACCCTAGTTTAGGAAACCTTATGGAGCAATCATACTCCGCCACACGGGACCCATGAGTCAATATGAACCCAACAGCAATAATAATAAACCATCGTCGTTCACCATAGCAGAGGGAACAAGGACCTAGCATATCACACATGGGCTCTTAAAGTTTCTGCCCGAGAAGTGATACCCATGATTTCTGCTCAAATTTCATTGGCTAAAACAGGTTTTATGGTAAGCCTAACTGTCCAGCATAGTGGAAATACAATCGTACCGTATGCCCAAATGAATTTCTGATAGACATTATCAAATACCCTGTTTCCCCCAAAATAAAACAGTGTCTTATATTAATTTTTGCTCCCAAAGATGCACTAGGTCTTATTTTCAGGGGATCTCTTATTTTTCCATGAAGAAGAATACGGTACTCATTTATTGTTTATTGTTTTATTAAAAGAAACCTCACACTTCCTGTCTGCTCCGGCTGTGCTGTGGCCAACAGTGAGCTGTGTGGCGGCGCCCGCCGATATGGTCCAGAGTTCAGAGTTACAGTAGCTTTGGGGGGCTTTATTTTGGGGGAGGTCTTATTATCGGGAGGATGTCTTATATTTCAGCAAGAGGCAAAACCGTAAGTAGGTCTTATATGCAGGGGATGTCTTACTTTCGGGGGAAACAAGGTAGTACTTTTTTTTTTTTAACTCTTGTTAGTACGTATCTTTTTAAAAGGAGCCCTACTTCAATCTTGCAAAAATAAAATAAAGAAGCCCTGGTGGCATGCAAAGGGGTTACATGTTGGCCTGCGAACTGCAAGGCCAGCCGTGCCAACCCCCTAGCTGCTCCTTGGGAGAAAGACAGGGCTTTCCACTCCTGTAAATAGTTACAGTCTTGGAAACTCAAAGGGGGCAGTTCTACCCTGTCCTAAAGGGCCACTGGGAGCCGCCTCAAGTCAATGTCAGTGAATTTCTGAGATACAGTGAACCCTCGTTTATCGCGGTTAATCACCTACCGTGATAAATGAAATTCCGCGAAGTAGGATTCCTTATTTGTAAATCAAATATTTTC